AGGAGTTCAAACTGGCCTGGACCAACACTTCAGTGGAAACCATCAGGATGGGGTGAGTCTGCCCTTCACTGACCTTGTGCAGAGACTTTGGGTAGCGCATAATTAGCCAAGGGGACGACCATGATGTGCTGACAAAGACACAGACAAAGTCACAGTGCAGAATCCCAGAAACTCAGCAGTCAGTGTAACTCTCTGCCCCAGGCCCCTCTCTTCAGCCCATTCACACCACTTCCAAAACACCATGTTTTTCACTCTGTCTCCATTTCACTGATGTTCAGAACTTTTCATCCATTTAGCTCTCTCCAAGCCATCCACCACAGCCTCCTGAGCCTATGAAATACCCACTGGCCATCTCCCTGACTGTTCCTGCACATTCCCCCCTCTCTTACTCTCATGCTCAGCCACTGCAGCTGTCCTTGCAGCTCACAGCCCCAGGAATCCACCAGCACTTGGTGTGTTCTTGTAACAAGGAAGCAACTGGCAAACTTTATCAGGAATGACAGAGCCAACAATAACCTACACTGCACTCTATTCTCAGCTCTCTTTGGAACAATTTCATCATTGCTGCGTATTCGCATGCAGCTCAAGAGGTGTTTGATATTTTATGGCTGTGAATTCCAGGTGCCGGATATCCTGTGAGGGCTGTCTCCCACCTGACAGACAGACATCACTCCCCACAAGGATGTGGGGACCGTGGCATATGCCCACTTCCTTCTCTGCCATCCACTTGCTTCTCTGTCATCCACTTGCTTCTCTGTCATCCACTTGCTTCTCTGTCATCCACTTGCTTCTCTGTCATCCACTTGCTTCTCTGTCATCCACTTGCTTCTCTGTCATCCACAGAGCCTGGACTCCCATCCTGTTCAAATGCAAAGGAGCTGCTGGCACAAGCCAGAAGGGTAAGAAGTCCTCCTAGAGGTTTGACATTGTATAGAGAGGTCTAATCGTCAGCTCTGCTTCCTTGAGGAGGCTTCCCAGCGGGCAGGGAGGGGGTTTGCCTTGAGGGCACAGATCTAGTGACTGTCTCTTGGCAGCTTTCCTCACCTGCAGGTCAGGTTTGGGTTGGCTGTGTAGCATAGTCAGGCTTTCATTTCAATCAGCTGTCTTATTCACGCACACTATTTGCTTTAAAATAACAAGCTATTGTTCCTGCAGACAGAGAATCGCACATCACTTCCCAGTCGTCCAAGAAAAGTGCTGTTCTAGGAGCTATGCATCCCAAGGGTAACACGGAGAAGGGGGGAAGGGACTTCTGAAGATGGGGCAACAGTCTATGGGGGAAGGATAGCTGAGAGAGAGATGACAACCTTAGCTAACAAGCACCCGTAGAGTGCTGAAGAGAAAAATCCAAGGGCAATGTAGTGAGGAGACAGGCATCTGGGGGAGCGCAACTCAGCAGTGCAGAACTGGTTAACAAGAAAGGAACAACAAAGAAACTTCTAGCCAAAAGGACAAAGCAGTTTGCTGATGGGGGCGTGGGGGGGAATGCCAGCATTTCTCACCCCAACAGGAAACAGCCCTTTGTAGCTGCATGCCAGAAAGAGACACACAAGCAGAGTAAAGCCAAATGAAACACCCAAGCAAAGTTGAAGCAGAGACTCTGCTTCCCTGCTGGAGACACGGGAAAGCCCGTAAATGTGAACTTGGTTGTTCTGTATTCCCTCCCACCTCATGACAAAGAATAGTCTGCACCTGGGAGAAGCTCTTGGCTGCTACAGAAAAGGAAGCGGTGTCTGCAGATAGCACTTTTTAAATTCCACTGATAGTCTCACATCTCTCATCTCCTGCAGTTTCCCTGCCATACAGAGCTCAGTCACCACTGCCCATTTCCCCTGTTGACACGGACAGAAAATTGAGCAATTACCCTTAAACTCCTCTCTCTCAGATTGTTCAGATTGCTACATACACAGCATTAAGCCCCCAATTGCCCCTGGCCAAAAGTGACTTGACTAGGCCTGTCCATTAGGAATTAAACACTTTTTTGTTGCTTGTGAAGGTTTATTATTCCTCAAGTTGTGATGCATTAAATCCTGCTAAAGCAGGTTTCCCACCATGCAGAGGAGCTGGGACCCCCATGAAAAGGTTCAGCTGGACACACATCCACCTAGCAAAGGTGTGTTAGCCATTTGCTATGCCTACGTACTAGCACATACCAGCGTGTGCTCAGGAAGATGGACACTAAGCTCCCAGAGGGTGCTGTAGGAAACCCCAGTATCCATCAACTAATCACTCCAGAGCAGTTTCTGGAGAGACACTGCATTTTTTCAAAACAGTCTTTCCAGCCTGGAGTTTTACAGGATAAAATGGAGCTTTTAGTCAAACACATGTCTTTGCTTTCCTTTAACTCAGAACTGTCTCCTCTTTAAAGTGGCTTTCTTGTCCTGGTCTAGCCTCTATGAAGACGAAATATGGATTAGAGAAAATAAATTCTCAGCACGACATGGAACTTCAAGGTACTTCACTGCTGGTATTTCAATGGTTTGTATTGCACAGTATGGATGACTTGCACCTCCTGGGTTTCCCTGTGCAACTGTAAAGAATGGCTGAAATTGCAGATAGTCCTACTCACGTCCCTGTCTGGTCCACCCACTTATACTCTCCCATATTACTGCAGTCTTTCCACACAGCCTGAGAAGTGACTGTCCTTCTGTCCCAAACTCCCACGGAGATGAGGAATCAGATGCTATTTCATGCACAGGGTGAATGGCTTGGAGCAGTGAGAGAATTCTACTTTCATTTCTGAAACTACAAGGCATATCAAGCCCAAAAGTCTCCACCTAGCTGTACAACCTTCCCTCCACTCTCCGCGTGCCAAACTAAGCTCTCTCCAGGCCCTATGCTTTTTTAACACTTTCTCCAATGGACTCCAAATTCTGCGCCTCTGGATTTTAGTGCTGTATAAATGATCACAACTGAGTACCTTTCAAATACACAACAATACCTTTTTAAGGGCATATAGTTTTGTCCTTCATTCTTCTAATGAAAAGGTTAGACAGGGGACAAACAATGTTAATGGAATGGTACAGCTAAGCTTTCTAATAGGTTAAAGGAAGACGATCCAAATGATTGGTTGACAGCAGCAATCATTACGCAACCGCGCCTGTTCATATTAAGGTGTACAAGCTAACACATTATGCAGCACAAAATAACCGTGACCCATCCTTGGGGATCCATACACCAATGTCTTGATTTCTGTGTGTTTAGAATCTGAGCTTTACTGTTACAGTCAACGACACAAGTCCGAGTGCAGTTCTGTGGGAAGCGAAGGCTGATACAGCTCAGCTTACTGCGCAGCCACAGCATGTTACTCCCTGCATTCTACACTGGGCAGTTATTTGTATCTCGCTGCTTATTCAAAAAAGTAATTTTATTCAGGTACTGGAGTTTGTTTATATGTCACTTTTCTCCACTGCAATTGCTGAGCCCACATGGAAAACTCCTCTCCCAGAATAGCTTGCTGAATCTCCCTGTAGAAACAGGACCACAAGTGTGCAATGCACTGATCCATTTAGAGATTTTCCACATGCAGATTAGATCCACAACCCAGTGTATTTGACTGTACCAGAAACTGCCTGGGTAGAAACCATAATCAGATTAGTGGGCTCTTTCTTCTAACACGTAGATTTAATCCAAAACTGAACTCTGGTTTGCAAACAATCAAAATTCAACTGTTAACTATAGGCTAGGCACAGATAAATAAATGAAGTGTATTAGGACTTGCCATGTCTTCATACCACATTCTGTATCAATTCTGCCCTGTATTTATTACTCAAGGTCTTGGAGCACTAAAAGTCACATGCTGCAAACATGTGGCAAGCATTTTTATGCCTGGTTAGCAAAGACAGTTATTATACTCTAAATACAAGACCAAGGTTCAACAAGAAGGACAGCACGTATGAAAACAGTCAAAGAGCTGTTCAGAACAGACTACCAGCCTCAGTGACATACGCTGAAATTTAAGAAGCCCCAAAAACTTCCCAGGGGGAATATTAAGTCTATTCTGAAGATGCCAATGCTATAAAGGTGCCACTTCTGGCAGTCATATGTTGCAATGCTTAATCTGTCTGGAAGACCCAAATAAGTCTTCATTTAATCTCATTAACCATACTGATGTCTGATCCTTTGTGACTCCTGGTAATTCTTCTGATGCTTGTTGATATTTTACAGATGCAACTTTTTATACACGCTATAAAATTCTTAGCCCTTGAAAACCGAGGTAGCTCCCAGAGACTTTAATGAATTTCTATGCTCCCCACAGTTCTCCAGTACTCATCTCAAAATTCATATTATGGATTTTTCCTGAGATTTCTCTTGGCTCATCCAGTCCTAGAAAAGCAGGTGGTATACACTACAAAGAAAACAAGTGCTAAGTCAGTAGTCCAGTAGATTTCACAACTTGTACAGGGATGGGATGGGATTACCCACCAGTGCCTATGTTTATGATGTATGATCTTGGATTAGGGCAAGCGGATTTTTTAAATTAAGAATTCCCTCATGACAGAGATCCCAGGAGAGTGGTGCAGGCACTTCTCCTGATGGGAACAAGACAAGGATGTTACCATAAAACATAAGAGAGGCTTTAAGCAGAGCATACTACCACCTAAACTAGTGGACAGCAGTGATTTCTTTCCTGGCTCTTAACCCTGTATTGCTCTTTTAGCTCTCTTTTTGCCCCAGTCCACTATTCTCCATGGGGAAGTAATCACGGAGAAAAGCATGTCCTCAACACTTTCTTCTTCACTTTTCTTCAGCTTTATCATTCTGTGTTAATGAAGAGCCAGAGTTAGACTACAGGTTCACTTCTTCATCCTCCTCTCCATCTCCTTTGCTGTCTCTGCCTCATTCAGCAGCTGGGGAGATGTAAGCACTTCCCACATTTGTTTACTCCCAGGGTGGCTCATTTCCTTGCAATTTCTTACATGATGCCTCTACTCACTTTACTGGAGAACCCCCAGATATGTATGAATGCACTTTTTGCAGTCAAGTAGGTGACACTTTACCTCCTCCATCATCTGATCCCTCCAGGCTCTGCTGTCTGAGACGATGGCTGCAGCAAAACACAAGGAAGAAAGAATTTCAATTGCAAGCCCAGAAAAACATCTTGCTGTGTCCCCTCCCTTCCCACAAGCCTCAAGGTCTGTCAAGGGGAGAGTTCCCAGGTACGTTTAGCCTGCAGACTGACCTTCTTCCATACCCCTCATTGCTGGACTCAGCAGAAATCTCAGGTTAGAGTGCTTAAGCAAGATGCCTGGTACCTGAGACAAACCCTATGCTGCCCACAGTAGGGCCTGGGGTGGGTCTAGGAGGAAAGCGGATCCTTTCTACTTTTCCTTCTTTCTGTCATATGGGAGTGACAGAGCCATCACGTATTCCATATCCAGGGAACTACAGAGTGAGCAGCCCTGCCCCATTCCAGGACACATGACATGAATTCATGCCAGAGTCTGCACCCTTCCCAAGTTCTTGGTGTACAGGTGCTTAGAGTTGCATGCCCCTTCTCCATGAGATCAGATGTAAATGTTGTGGAAAAAGTCTCAGCAACAATGGGAACTTACTCTTCTACTTCTTCTGCATGCTTTCTTCCCGACCTGCAAGACAAGGCAAGGCTTAGAAAAAAAGGCTAGAGAAAATTACAAAATGGCATCTTT